AGGCAAACTCACTGTTAACTTTAAGTTGCAGCGGTGACGGCGGCTTCTAGCTTCGCTACGGCGAAGGCGTCCTGGATCGCGGAGAAGCCCGGGGCTCCGGAGGAGTTCTCACCTACATCGTCCACAAGGGACGACTCGGGAACTCAACTCCTACCTCGGGCAGCTCACCTATCCCCCTAAGCCCAGGGGAAAGGTATCAAGCCGTTTGACAGCTGATGCAGGCTGTCAAAACGGCTTTTACGCAGAAACAGGCGGGAGCAGCAAACAGCTGCGTCCAGCGAAGTCGCCTGCCACCGGAAGTTCCTCTATTTCTATTCCTATTCTATTCTATTCTTCATTCCTCCCATTATTCTATTCTATTTCTATTTCTATTCTATTCTATTCTATTCTATTCTATTCTATTCTAGTTCTATTTCTACTTCTACTTCTATTTCTATTTCTATTTCTGTTTCTATTTCTATTCCAACCCTAGCCTTGCTGGACTCAGCCAAGGGGAAAAAGGAAGAGGAAAGAAACAGGGGTTCTACCTAAGGAGCCGTTTTCTCCCTTCTGGAGATGTTCTTCAAAAGAAAAGGGGAACCATCCACTTAGCTTCTTAGTTTCGGGGGGGGAACGCTTCTTTGCTCCTTTGGTGGGGACCTGGTGGTCTCCCTGGCAAATCCCACCCATCCATCCCAGGGAGGAATCCACTTTGGGAAACACCCCAGTGAGCCCCCCTCTCCTCCCCTCCTCTCTCAACCCGCCTGTAGGCACGGAATCGGAGACCAAGGCATTCATGGCCGTCTGCATTGAAACCGCCAAGCGCTACAGCCTGGACGACTACCGGACCCCCGTCTTTATCTTCGAGAGACTCTGCAGCATCATCTACCCGGTAAGGGGGGGGCAACCTGGTCCTGATCCTGCCCGCCCAGGAGGCTTTTGGAGCAGAGAAGCCAAAGAGGGGTGCTCAACTCCACTGGCCCCCTAAACACTTTGGGGGGGCACTGCTTCCACTCCTTGCTCTTTTCTCGTGACCCAGGAAGAACAGCCTTTGGATGGGTCTCCACCCTGACCCTCAAGGACCCGTGAAGGGCAGGGGCAACACGGTCTGGGGCTCTCGGCAACTGTCAGCCATTGGCGGCGCCGTAGAGCCGGCGGGGCGGGAGACGGGACCCTCTTCCTCACCCCTGGCGCTTCTGGCCTCTTTTAGGAGGAGAACGAAGTGACGGAGTTCTTCGTCACCCTGGAGAAGGACCCCCAGCAAGAGGATTTCCTGCAGGGCCGGATGCCCGGGAACCCTTACAGCAGCAACGAGCCGGGCATCGGGCCGCTGATGAGGGACATCAAGAACAAGATCTGCCAGGATTGCGACTTGGTGGCTCTGTTGGAAGACGACAGCGGCATGGAGGTGAGAAGGCCGGGCGAGCCGGATCAGCTGGAGGGCGGCCACGCTTTGCAAGCCCCGGGAGGGGCCGGGATTTTGTGCAGCCCCCCCTTGGCTTATGAAGCCTGGCTCTTTTCCTTGGCAGCCTGTGCAGGGCCCCCTTGTGGCTTTCTGCAGTGCCCACTTTCCAGAAAACAGGGATCTTTCCCCATGTTTAAAACTTGGATAGAATTCTCTGTTGGCCAAGTGTGATTGGACACACAAGGAATTTGTCTCCGGTGCGGAAGCTCTCAGTGTACCAAAAAAGCAATAAGGGATAAATCATGACCATGCTGCGTTTCCCCGAAAGTAAGACCTACCCTGAAAATAAGCCCTAGCTTGATTTTGGAGGGTGGGCCTAATATAAGCCCTACCCCAGAAATAAGCCATGGTTTGGGGCGAGGCACATGCCTAAAAACCAAGCTAGGACGTGGTTGAGGAGGGGTGGAGCTGTCAAACGTGCCCTGCCCCTGCTTACTGTTGTAACCTGCCTCTCCTCGCTTTCGCAGTCAGAGGCCTTTCCGGAAGGCATCTGCGGCCGAGAACCGAGCATCCGTAGCTCAGTTCTCGGCTGCACTGGCCTTCCAGAAAGGCCTCTGACAGTGAAATGCAGGCCAAAGCTCCATGCTCAGCTGCAGAATGAAGCTGCTCCTTCGGCCACAGAAGAAGTGGGCCGGCTGGGCAGGGCTGTCGGTGCCGGAGGTGAGTGGAAAAGCCCCCTCTCCAAAAAAAAACAAAAACAAGACCTGGTGCCTCTTTTGGAGGCAAAAGCAAAATAAGACTGGATCTTATTTTCGGAGAAACACATAAAAATACATTCATCATAAATCGTAAGAGAGACAACACTTAGCGATAGTCATAGGATACTAAATAAGCAATCAACAACATAAAACTCTTACTAGGATAAACAATATAAATTGTAATATATTAGCCACAAAGTTATAGTCCTAAGGAGACGAGGTAGGTAATAGGAGAGGTGAGAAGAATAACAGTAATACAGCCTTACTAGATAATTTGACAGTGTTGTGGGAATTAGTTGAGCAGAGTGATGGCACGGAGAAAAAAATTGTCCTTGGGTCTAGTCGTCCTCGTTCATCTCCCCGCTGTGTTTTTCTTCCTCCTGTTTTCTTTCAGCTTCTGGTGAACAACAAGATCATCAGCTTGGACCTCCCAGTTGCTGAAGTGTACAAGAAAGTCTGGTGTCCGACTAACGAGGTGAGGGGTCCTTTTCTCCTTTCGGCCTCTCACGTCCCTGAGATCTTGGAATGGACACAGTGTGTGCGCTGCCCAGGCCTTTTCTTTTTCCCCAGAGATTTGTCCTCTCTTCCTCTCCCACCGTTGCCCGTGGGAGGGCTGTGCTTCCCACGGTGCACTGTGTTCCTGTAGCTTACGCTGTGTGTGTGTATGTGCGTGTGCCACACTCCAGATTTCTTGCACACGTGAGTGCGTGTCTTCAGCCACACCATGGCTGAACATTACAATCCAACTGTTTTCCTCGCAGTCCAAGGACTGGATCCTCAGAGGAGGAGGAAGGCGGTCGGTTAGCCCAGGGTTCTCCAACCTTTTTGGATTGGCGGCCCGGTGGGAAAGGGAGTGGCAGGTGCCTTACATGCCCATGCGCCAACGTGAACGTGGCCACGCGTGCACCCGCACATACAAACAGGCTGCGAGCATGTGCATCACGTAAACGGGGCTGCGAGCATGCACGCAAGGCTCTCAGTAACTGGCGCCTGTGTTGGGTTTGTGGCACCGCCACTGCCAGGATCGCAGCAATGCTACCGCCAGCACGAGGCTTGCGCCACAGCCGCAGTGATACTGTGCTGTCGTGAGGTTCATGCCACCGCCCCGGTGCAAGGATCCCGCTGTGGCCCACAGCAAAGCTGCCCCAGCGCAAGGCTCATAGCACAGCCCCCGCACGAGGATCGCACCGTGGCCTGCAGCAATGCCACCCCGTATGATGATTGCGCCATGGCCCTCCTGCCACTTGCGGCATTCCCGCCACCCACACAAAGTTCATGGCAATGCTGCCACCTACGCGATACTAGTGGCATTGCCACCTCCCGCGCAACACTCGCGGCAACGGTGGCACGAGGTGGGGTGAGCAGGCGCACACGTGCGTGCACTGCCCAGCTACTCACGCAGCCTGGCAGTCAAGAGGCCACAGCCCAGGTTGGGGACCTCTGGGTTAGCCAATGCTGTGTGGAAAAGCAGGCTAGACTTTGCTGCTGGTCAGAGTTTGCCCCAAACAGTTGTGCTGCTCCCTATATAGGCTGCTTTGGGGCAGGCGATTTGTTGCCTAGCACAGAGTTTCCCAAAGCTTTTCGGCTTTGTGGACCATTGGGAAGGAGAAGAGGGAGGGGATGGTTCCGCAGGAACAGTGGGCACATGCGCGCACGCAGCTCCATTTGCGCTGAATGCCCGCCGCTCACGCGAATGGAGCGCATGTGCTCACCTGCTGTTCACGCCAGTGGAGGTGCGCACATTTGCCTGCCACTTCCATGGCCTGGTTGCAAACTGCTCAAGGCCAGAGGTGGGCCACAGCCCCGGGGTTAGAGACCCCTGTCCCAGCAAACCCGCTGATGAAATTCTCACCTTTGTTTATTGGGGAAAAAAATCATTTTAGGAAAGCTTTGGCTGATCAAGTCCCTGCTGAGCAGGGCAGCCTTGAAACCTCTCGCAGATGGATTCTCTTTTCTTGTCTTTAATTTCTTCAGCCTCCTGCTTCTTCTTCTTCTTCTTCTTCTTCTTTTTTGTTTTCTACAATCCGCCTAACGCCCGCTTAGCCTGAGCCTCCGTCGCGTGATGGGCCCATAGGTATGTCAGGAGACAGTTACGGGCCCAAATTAGGAAGCAGATAAGACGGCCTTCCTGGCGATCAACGGCATCCGGTTTTATAGCGGAGATGATTTTTATCCCAGGGAAGAGAAAGGGCTGTGCCTGTGTGCTATCAAAAATTCAAAATACCTTTGTAGGCAAGCATTTTCGGGAGGGGATTAAGGACTTGATATCTTTGCTTTAACTCTCGGTGCCAAACTTTGGGTATTATCCCCCAGAAAGCCTCCAGGAATGAATACGTTAAAATAACCCGGCCTTGTCATTCGGAGTTCAAAAGAATCTCATGCTTGTCGAGAAGGCAGTTTGGAGATTAATTCATTCAGATGCGGGTCTCCAAATGGCCCCGCGCTTTGAATGTGGTGACAGTTTTTTGAACAAAAGCCTGCATTTCATCACGGAGGGCTTGGAAGCCCTGTAAACGGAGGGGAACCAGAAGGGATTCTAGTCCCTTTTGATTTGCCCCTCCTGTGCCTGGATAGGTAGCTGAGAGAGAGAGAAGACAGGCAGTCCACAATTTACAACAGTTCGCTTAGAGAGGGTTCAAAGTTACAAAGGCATTGAGAAAGGACAGTTTTTCAGAGTTAACAACCGATGTGTGGCATCTCTGAAGTCATGGGATCAAAATTGGGACACTTGGCAAGGGGTTCATACTTATGACGGTCGCAATGTCCCGGGGTCATGCGATCCCCTTCTGTCGAGCAAAGTCAAGGGGGGAGCCAGGTTCACTTAACAACCGTGTGACTAACTTAACAACTGTAGTGATTCACTTAACAACCGTGTGACTGACTTAACTGCAGTGATTTGCTTAGCAACCGTGGGAAGGAAGATTTGTAAAATGGGGCAAAATTCACTTAACTGTCTCTCTTAGCAACAGAAATGTTGGGCTCCACAGTGGTTGTAAGTCAAGGACTACCTACATGTCACAGGCTGCTTTTTCCACTTAGCTAAGACTGGGGGGCGATTTCCCTCAATAGACACCGCCATTAAGCTTCGGTTACAGCTAGCTGTCAGAGTGTGCACAGGTCTTATTGCGCGAGACAATCCAGGAGTAAACGCAGTAAACAGTGGTCTGTAGTAGAGATAACCCAGGAATAAACGCAGTAAACAGTGGTCTGTAGTAAATGGTGGTTTATCTTGCACCGTCTACAATATCATACACCAGAGCAATAAACATATACGAGCTCAAGCAGCAGGATCCAACAAACCACAGTTACAGCAGGAAACAGAAGAAGAAAGTACACATCAGCAGAGCCTTCCTTTTATACCAGGGATAGGCAACCTCGGCTCTTTTATGACTCGTGGACTTCAACTCCCAGAATTCCTGAGTCAGTCATAAAAGAGCCGAGGTTGCCTACCCCTGCTTTATACAATGGCTCTTAAAGAGACTCAGACCCTGCTGAGTCATTCCCATCATTACATACATTACATAAGCTGCTTAGCTATTAAATCAATACCTCAACTTAATGACCACAAATTTCCATTGCTAAGCAAGTTGGTTGCTAAGTGAGTCACACCTGATTTTATCACCCTTCTCCCCTCCCCCCCAGCGGCTGTTAAGCATATCACAGCATTTGTGAGGTGACTCATGCAGTCGTTAAGCGAATCCGGCTCCCCCCCCCCCATTGATTTAGCTTGCCTGAAGCTGGCCGAGAAGGTCACAAATGGGGATCGGATGACTGCCGGGCAGGTGCGGCCATCGTAAATCCACTGATCATGGGGCCGTGGGGCTGTTGCGGCGGTTGTGAGTGCCATTGTAACTTTGAACCCATTTTAACCAAATGGCCATAAACCAAGGACCGCCTCTCTTTCTGCGCCCGTGCCCTCTCGCAGGGTGGCGACAGAGAGCTTGACTTGGCTTGTCCCAAAGTGGGTGAGAATGGCCAAGGCTGGGAAGGAACGGTGACTCCCAAGAAATTCTCCCCAGGCCCGTGTTTTTTTCCCCCTTGCCTCTTTTGGGGTTCAGCCTTTGACCAGCTCTCCTCCACGGTGGCTGCTGCTACTCTGGAGCCCAGCTTTTGATCCCCCCCCATTTCCCCTTGGGGCTCCCCCAGCCTCGCTCAGAATCTCCTCTGACATTAAGCGCCGGCTTATTCGGCACCGGGCTTAGCGGTAGTCCTCTTGACAGCTCCTCTTTGCTCTTCTGGGCTTTGCCTCTTTCCCCCCCCTCCCCAATAAAGTCTCCTCCTCCTCCCAACCAGGGAATGTCACCCTCCCCTTCCCCTCACCCCCTACTCTTTTCCCTTCCCCGTTCAGACTTCCAGGGTCCTTAAAACGGAAACTCGCCCTCTGCGTCTGGGGCCCGGGACTTGTAAGAGGGGCGCTGTCTCCGTGGGGAAAGTTGTAAGGAGACCCTCCTGGGCTTTGGCACTTTTCCTAATACCCAGTTTGGCTTAAAAGCTTATTAAATTGTCACTTCTCTTTCCCCAGCCACCTTGCCAGCCGCCCCCACCCCCCCCCTCTCCTGTTTTCTTCTCATCCGTAGGAGCTTTCTCTTCCCCGCTGCCCTTCCTTTGAAGGTGCCAGTTTAATTAACCTGTCACACACTTCTGCGCGTTTCCTTTGGCTCCTGGAGGGCCGAGCTTGCCCGCGTGGAGGCATTCTTCGGTTTCTTGTCGGGTTAAAACAGAAGGAAAGAGCACAGTTTCCGGGTTTAACTTCCAGTCTGTCCGGGCTCCATCCCAGGCCAGATCTGGGTCTTCCAACCTGTTCTAGACTGGGTGGTTTTACTGCCTCTTTCTCTAGACTTTGCCAAAGGGACTTGTATGCCCCCACCGTGATGCCTCCTGCATCATTTCTTTGAGCTAGACTCTTTTATGACTCATGGACTTCAACTCCCAGAATCCCTGAGTCAGCATAGCTGACTCAGGGATTCTGGGAGTTGAAGTCCATGAGTCATAAAAGAGCTGAAGTTGCCTACCCCTGAGCTAGAGGAAGCTCCCTCAGTTGGGGATGCACCCCCTGCCCTGCCTCTCCAGTCATGTGTAGCTTTTATTGCAACCTGGAGTGTTTGTCCCTTTTCACTGAGAGGAGCCAGTCTCAGCCACTACATCTTCTCCGCTGCTGCTGCTGCAGAAGTTGCGTTGGGCTGTGATCTTTAATGGGAAGAATGGAGACCGTGTTAATAAGCGTCTGAAGGAAGCAAGGAAGCCCATGAGCGGATTAGCCCAGCCTAGTGGAGGGTCAAGCCCTGGATATTTCTCTGCCTCTTCTGTGCTTGTCTGATCAAAGTCTGTTTGGTCTCCCCTTTTCTCCTCGGCAGGGCGAGCCCATGAGGATAATTTATCGCATGCGCGGCCTGCTGGGGGACGCCACGGAAGAATTCATAGAGTCTCTGGATTCCACCACAGGTACCAACCTTGCATCCTGCCACGGGATGCTGGCCCTTGAATCCAGCATCGGATGGCTTAGATTCCAACCCTGTTTCTCCACTTCAGCAACTTTTAAGCTGTGTGGACTTCAACTCCCAGAATCCCCCAGCCAGCCACACATTGTAAAGTTGCTGAGGTTGAGAAACACTGTTTTAGACGTTTGGCCATCGCGACGAGAGCCAAAGTTGCCAAACCGATGCTTTGCCTCCTCCACCCTGGAAGAGGGCAAGATTATTTTCAATGCCGGGCATTTATTTAGCGCCAACGCGTCCACCAGGCCTGTTGGCCCAGTGCTCTTTTGAGCAGGCTACCCAGAACATCCTGATCCTCCAAGGATGCTGAGTCAGGAGGAGAATCCAGGCAACTTGTGCCTGCCTCTGGGAAAAATAGCCAGGATCTTTTCTCCAGGCCTTGTCGATGCCGTTGTTTCTCTCCTGAAGGCCTCTTTCTTTTTCCCAGATGAAGAGGAGGATGAGGAAGAGGTGTACAAGATGGCGGGAGTCATGGCGCAGTGCGGCGGCCTAGGCTGCATGCTGAACCGCTTGACCGGGATCAAAGACTTCAAACAAGGCCGGCATCTGCTGACGGTGAGCCGCGTTCCCCACCTCCCCTTCCTGTTGGAAGTCCTTTTCTAGTGGGATGGTTGTGTGAAGACAGATCATCAGTTTTCCCCAAAGGTTGATGGAAGAAAGAAAAAAAATATTTCAGTTACACTTCCAGCAAAGAGAGGAGTTTTGTGGACTATCTTGTTGACCATCTTGGCCATCTTCTCCTCATTTTTCAACATCAGTCCAAGAAACGAGACCAGTATCAAAACATTGAATCCAGCCAAGGGGTGTAGAGGCAAGCAGCCAGTAACAGAGGCTCTAGCACAGTGGTGGCGAACCTATGGCACGTGTGCCAGAGGCGGCACTCAGAGCCCTCTCTGTGGGCGCTTCTCTGAACTGCTGGGGGCGGGCTGCAGAGCCCCAGAGTGCACCGGTCAAGGGGCCGGCAGGCTGTGGCTGCTGACGGACACTGTCGGCCCCCATGCGCTCACTGGCCTCTGTGTGCGGTGGCCGATGGTGTCAGGCAGCAGCTGCCCTGGCCCCTGCCTCGCTTTGCCCTGGGACAATGGCACCCCCACCCTGCCTTGCCTCACCCTGCAGGACGAGCCTCCTACCCACCACCCCACCTGCCAGAGACCCCCAACCCTGCCCGGCCCCCACAGGCATCCCTCCCCATGAGCAACATCAAGGTGACCATGCCCACCTTGGCCATACCCACCCTGTCTGCCATGACCGCCACAGCCACGCCCACACAGTGGGCCATGCCCATCTGGCACCCAGCGATAAATAAGTGGGTTTTGGGTTGCAGTTTGGGTACTCGGTCTCTAAAAGGTTCTCCATCACTGCTCTAGCAGCTCCAGGTATGTCTAGAGCAGGGGTAGGCAGCTTTGGCTCTTTTATGACTGGTGGACTTCAACTCCCAGAATTCCTGAGCCAGCCTGGCTCAGCTTGGAAACCTCTCCCTTTCCCCTCAGCATGGCTGGCTCAGGAATTCTGGGAGTTGAAGTCCACGAGTCATAAAAGAGCCAAGGCTGCCTACCCCTGGTCTAGAGGAATTCTTTCCTGAAGCCTTAGACTCCACCAGTCTCGGAGAGTTAGATGAACCAAGGAGCTTTCCAAGCCATGACAGGGAAATTCCAGCCACCAGGTGGCCGTTTTTAGGACAATTGCTTGCTGCTCTTCCTTTGAGAGGCTGGAGCGGAGCTGCTCCTGGTCCATGGGTCTTCGAACATGGTTAAACATTGCTTGGGGTGGAAGCTGCTCCTGAAACCTTCGGCCGTCTCTTCCTCCCGCAGGTCCTGCTGAAACTCTTCAGCTACTGCGTCAAAGTGAAGGTCAACCGTCAGCAGCTGGTGAAGCTGGAGATGAACACCCTCAACGTCATGCTGGGCACGCTGAACTTGGTAAGCGGCCACGCCCCACCACCTGGCAGGTTCTCTCTCTCTCCCTCCTTCCCTGCTCAGGGGGGGTCCCCTGGGTCAGCAAAGAGGAAGCCAGACTGGTGGCTGAGCTCTCCATCTCCAATGCTTTTTGGGTTTTTTTGCGCCCTCTTCGTAGGCTCTGGTGGCCGAGCAGGAAAGCAAGGACAGCGGGGGAGCGGCGGTGGCAGAACAGGTCCTCAGCATCATGGAGATTATCCTGGACGAGTCCAATGCAGAGCCACTGAGTGAGGACAAGGTTGGTACAGGGGTGTAAACTTGTGGATGGACAAGGAAGAGGAGCGTGGGTGGCGTTCAGAGACAGAGCGTCAGATCTGCCACAGCTTAAACCTCTTGGCCCCATTGGTTGAGAAAGGTAGAGTTTTATTAGAGATCAAGTGTCCTGCAGCATTGCACATTCAGATCTGATCATCACGTGCCCAAATCCCTAAGTTTTTACTCCCCCCCCCTTATCTGCCCCTCACTGCCCACCCCCTTTGTAACCAATCATGCAAGATGTTTTCATAACAGTCAGTCTGAGCGCAGATCGGTGTGCAGCTCCTCCTCCTTCCAGCCAGGTGACCTTGAGGCAGCATCTTGCGGCGGCAGAGTTTCTACTTCCACTTTCCCCCCGAGTATCCCCTTCCCAACGTTCCCCCTTAGCACAGCTCATGGCAGTCTGTCGCCGCATAGCAGCGAGGCGCAAGCAAGCATAAGGGGGCAGCCCTGGGGCCCTGTCCATCATCTTCCCTCTCATATTGCAACCACGTCTGTTACGTAGTTGGGGGTTCAAGAGGGAAGGAATCTTGAAAAGCGGAACGCTGGTGGGCTGGCTAGATTGAGGGAGCTGTTCTGTGGGTCACTCCAGAAGGAGACCGGGGGGGGGGGCGGATCTTTTGCTCTGTGCTGGAAGGTTCCTAGGGTCACGAGGAACTAGCGGGACCCAACATTCATAATTGCAAGGGTGGCTTCTCTGCCTTAGTCCCCGCAGCAGCCAAGAGGAGGCATGTCAGGACTTACTTGCCTTTTCACCTAGATTTCCCCTTTTGCTCACATCTTGACCCTGGAATGCAAAGGTGGGAGGGGTGATGTCTAGGCCAGGGGTCCCCAACCTATGGGCTGCGCCCTGGTACTGGGCTGCAGGCTCTTGGCTAGCGGGCTGTAGAAATGGCTGGCCAGGGCACGCACGCATGGATGCGTATTCCCCCCCTTGTGCTAGCACCCGCACCCATGGCCCTGTTTGCGCATGCGCGCAGGCTCAAACAGAAACGCTAGCGTGGAGGGGGGCATGCCCCGTTTTTGCGTGTGTGAATGGGCCACTAGCGCAGGGGGTGTGCGTGGCTCATTTGTGCACGTGCGAACAGGCGCTAGCCGCTGCAGGGGTGCACGGCTGTTCATGCATGCGCATGGCGCTGCCGCATGCACAAACACGGCCGCTAGTATTGCACCAGTGGGTGTGGCCCCGTGTGCGTGCACATGCACGCGCACGCAGTAATTTGGAAGCTGCTCTCCCCTCCAGGCCACGAGCCTGGAAAGTTTGGAGAACTCTGGTCTAGGCAACCGAGAGTTGAGGCCAATGAAATGGACATAACAAGAAGAAATTTTACTATTGGACAATGTGACCACCCAGTGGGTGGGGTCAAGGGAGTCTATTGTTTAACCAAGCAAGCCTTTGAGTGGAAAAATCAGAGCTGGTTTTGCTTTCTTCTGGGACAGTGTAAATTTTCAGTAAAGTATTATATACTCTTGGTAAAATCATGTCCCAAGAGTTTCTTTTTCTGGGCAGTTGACGTGGGAAGCATCAGTCCTGGCAGGGAGGCAGGCAGGCAGGCAGCTGGGTTGGTGTCCCGGGGGGGGGGCTCTCCAGCTGCCTCTCAAGCGGGTGGGCGATTCTCTCTGCAGGGCAACCTGCTCCTGACAGGCGACAAGGACCAGCTGGTGATGCTGCTGGATCAGATCAACAGCACGTTTGTCCGCTCCAATCCCAGCGTGCTCCAGGGCCTCCTGCGCATCATCCCTTACCTGTCCTTCGGGGAGACGGAGAAGATGGAGATCCTGGTGGACCGATTCAAGCCCTACTGCAGCTTCGACAAGTACGGACAAGGAGGGCGCCCGGGGCCGTCTCCCGTCTCCCGCTAAATAGACTGGGGTTTGGGTGTGCTTGGGCGGGCGTGCACACAAGCAGGGACGCGTGACCGTTCCACGTTGCACAAATGGGTGATTTGCCCAGCTCCTCTCCTGCAAGGGAACGAGGAACGAAAAATGGCTTTTCCTTTTGAGTTTCGTTCTCGTTTCGAGCTGCCTGGTGGCTTTTTCTGCCCCTGAAAAAAGCAGGACACGACTCAGGTGGTCTTTGGGTGCCTTTTTCCATGCCCCTCCCCTTTTCGTTCTCTCTCTCTCTCTCAGGTACGACGAGGAACACAGTGGGGACGACAAGGTCTTCCTGGATTGCTTCTGCAAAATCGCCGCCGGCATCAAGAACAACAGCAACGGGCACCTGCTGAAGGACCTCATCCTGCAGAGAGGGATCACCCAGGGCGCCTTGGACTACATGAAGAAGCATATCCCCAGCGCCAAGAAGTGAGGGCCCTGCCTGGCATCTGTGGGGAGATGGGGCCCGGCCTGGGGGGTGGGGGTGGCTTCAAGGTCTGGGTCTGGAACAGCTGAGAGGGGGGGAGTGCTTCTACACTGAGGGTGGTCAACCGTTTGCTCTCCTTTCCCGCCCTGCCCCCCCGCCTCTCGGACAGTTTGGACGCCGATGTGTGGAAGAAATTTCTGTCTCGACCGGCCCTCCCGTTTATCCTGCGGCTACTCCGAGGACTCGCCACTCAGCATCCAGCTAGCCAGGTGAGGTTCCCCCTCCTCCTCCATCTCCTCCTCCTCCTCCTCTCTGCAACTCCTTTTCTTTCTCCATTTCCATCTCCCTTCTTCCTCCTCCTCCTCCTCCTCCTCCTCCTCTTCTCTACAACTCCTTTTCTTTTTCTACTTCCATCTCCCTTCTTCCTCCTCCTCCTCCTCCTCCTCCTCCTCCTCCTCCTCCTCCTCTACAACTCCTTTTCTTTTTCTACTTCCATCTCCCTTCTTTCTCCTCCCCCCCCCCCCCCCCCCCCATTTCTCTGTGGAAAGCAGGAGGCTTTGCAGAGCCTGCCTTTGGCAGGGACGGTGCCCGAGCACACGATGCTCTCCTGGCTTTCCCTATGCCCTTGTGAGTTTCGGTGCTGGGCCCCGACCGTTACCCTCCTAGCTGTGCCTGGGGAAGGCAAAGGCCCTCCGTTCCCCCGGAGGCCTTGCTCAGTTAGGGAGGGAGGCCACTGCCGTCCTGCAACAGTGCTGCCGCTGAGAACTCCTGGTAGCAAAAGGGTGAAAGGGAAACAATGGGATTCTGACCTGGTCCGCTGGCCCTCGAGCTGAAAGCCTCCCTCCCTCCCTCCCTGCCCCGCAGGCGCTGATTGGGACCGATTCGATCTCCAACTTGCACAAGCTGGAGCAGGTCTCCAGCGACGAAGGCATCGGGACGCTGGCCGAGAACCTCCTGGAAGCCCTCCGGGAACACCCGGACGTGAACAAGAAGATCGACGCGGCCCGCCGGGAGACGCGGGCGGAGAAGAAGCGGATGGCTATGGCCATGCGGCAGAAGGCCCTGGGCACCCTCGGCATGACGGTAACGGGCGCCTCTCGCTCGGGGTGGCGGGATGCGAGGAGGTCTCTGGGGAGTGCAGGCCCCGTGGCCCTTCCTCCTCCTCCTCCTCCTCCTCCTCCTCCTCCTCCTCAGCCCCTCCACTCTTTGCTTGGCTTGCCAGACGAACGAGAAGGGACAGGTGGTGACGAAGACAGCGCTGCTGAAGCAGATGGAGGAGCTGATCGAAGAACCCGGCCTGACGTGCTGCATCTGCCGGGAAGGCTACAAGTTCCAGGTGAGTCAGGCCTGGACCTTCCCCACGGTCCCCTGGGGAGGGGAGAGGGACTCTCCCCCCGTCAAGTGTGTCCCTGGAAACATTTTGGAGGCAGCCCACCCTATCTGCACTTTTTTTGCCGCAGCCCACCAAAGTCCTGGGCATTTACACCTTCACCAAGCGGGTGGCCCTGGAGGAGTTTGAGAACAAGCCTCGGAAGCAGCAGGGCTACAGCACCGTCTCCCACTTCAACATCGTCCACTACGACTGCCACTTGGCAGCGGTCAGGTAAGGAAGCCCCGCGGGCAGCCGGGCCTCTCCCGGTTGGCAGCCTTGGATTTCAGCCAGGTCTGGATTGGAAGCCCAGATAAGTCAGACGGAGTCTGTCAGACGCTCATTGGGGCGGAGGGGTTATCTCCGGGGTGGGAAGGGGGGAGCGGGGAGAACTCATGCTCCTGACGCCCGTGACTTTCCTCCGCCTGGCAGGTTGGCACGGGGCCGCGAGGAGTGGGAGAGCGCCGCCTTGCAGAATGCCAACACTAAATGCAACGGCCTCCTGCCAGTCTGGGGGCCGCACGTCCCAGAATCTGCCTTCGCCACCTGCTTGGCAAGGTGAGTTGGAAGGACGCCCTTTCCTGGAACACCTGCGGCGCCTGGCAAGGGGCACCCTTCCATCTGGGAGGAGGAGGAGGAAGAGGAAGCCTTCGCACGTCTCATGAGGCGTCCCCTTGCCAAAAAAACTCTGTTTTTGTGGCTTATCCCTTCTTAACCTTGTTTTCCCACGGAATCGGTCCCCAACAGCAGCCCTTGAAGCTGGGGGAAGCGGGAGAAGGGGGTTGGTGCCCTAATCCGCCTGTGGTTCTCCCTCGGCAGGCACAACACTTACCTCCAGGAGTGTACGGGGCAGCGGGAGCCCACCTACCAGCTCAACGTCCACGACACCAAGCTGCTCTTCCTCCGGTTTGCCACGGAGCAGTCGTTCAGCGTGGACACAGGCGGCGGTGGCCGGGAAAGCAACATCCACCTGATCCCCTACATCATTCACACAGTGCTTTACGTCCTCAACACGTCAGTATCCCCCACACCCTCCGTGTGCTTTTAGCCGTAGGTTGGAAAGACCAGAGGTGGTGGTGGTGGTGGTGGTGGTGGAGGAGGAGGAGGAGGAGGAGGAGGAGGAGGAGGGGGTCAGCACTTAATGGCTGAGCAGGTTGATCCCGGAGGGTTTGCCCGTCCCCCCTCCTCTCCCCACTGCCCGTCTTGAGCAGAGGAAACTCTGTGGCTGGTGCCCAAATCTTGTCTGCCAGGCTGTGGGCAGCAGGACAGGCCCTGGCCCTTCACCCTGGAAGCCCCTCCCCACCCTCACCCAAATCACTCCTTTTTAAATCTCTACAGCCAGTCCTCGGCTTTCAACAGTTCATTTAGGGACCGTTTGAAGTTACGCCAGCATGGAAAAGGAGGGCTTTGGGCCCGTTTTTCATACCTAACGCCCGTTGCAGCCTCCCCAGGGTCGCGTGATCAAAATTCAGGCAACCAACTCTTACCTATGTCGGTCGCAGTGATAACCAGGGTCCTCTGAATTCCCCCTCTTGCGACCTTTCGACAGGCAAAGTCAGTGGGGAAGCCAGATTCAGTTAACAGCCATGGTACTAACTTAGCAGCTGCAGTGATTCCCTTAGCAACTGTGGCAAGAAAATGGGGCAAAATAGCAATAGCCCTTAGACTTACATACTGCTTCACGGTGCTTTACAGCCCTCTCTAAGCGGTTTTTACAGAGTCCGCCTGTTGCCCTTCCCAACAATCTGGGTCCTCATTTTACCGACTTCAGAAGGATAGAAGGCTGAGTCAACCTTGTGCCGGTCAGGATCGAACTCCTGGCACTGGGCAGAGTTTGCCTGCAATAGCAATAGCACTGAGACTTGTTATACCATTTCACAGTGCTTTACAGCCCTCTCTAAACGGTTTACAGAGTCAGCCTGTGGCTCCAAAAAATCCGGGTCCCCCACTTTACCGACCTCGAAATGATGGAAGGCTGAGTCGACCTTGAGCCGGTCAGGCTCGAACTCCAGACTGTGGGTAGAGTTAGCCTGCAATGCCGCATTCTAACCACTGTGCCACCACAGCTCTTAATGCAACATCCGATCAGCTACAGCAATAGCAAGAGCACTTAGACTTATGTACCGCTTCACCGTGCTTTTACAACCCTCTCCGAGCGGTTTACAGAGTCAGCATATTCCCCCACAACAATCTGGGTCCCCATTTTACCGACCTCGGAAGGATGGAAGGCTGAGTTCAACCTTGAACCAATTAGGATCGAACTGCCAACGTGCAGTCGGCAGAATCAGCCTGCAGTACTGCACTCTAACCACTGCGCCGAAAATCACTGAAGGGCAGCCTTGCTTAGCAACAGAAATTGGGAGGCTCCGTTGTTGTTCACTTGAAGACCGCCTGTAACCCTCGGAGGATGGGGGGGCTTGGGAGACCCCAATCAATGAAAGAAGACCAGGGCTCCTCTGATGGGCTTCTCTGCGGCTTGGCCCTTCCCTAGGAGATGCCCTCTGCCTCCTGCTCTCTGGGCCGGGCAGAGATGAGGCCTTGCGACCTGCGGGCCGGGATGGGGAAGGGCTTCTCCGATCCAAAGGCCTCCCTTGTCGACAGCCTCTGCTGCCTTCCTCTCTCCAGGACGCGGGCGACCTCCCGAGAAGAGAAGAATCTGCAGAGCTTCCTGGAGCAGCCGAAGGAGAAGTGGGTGGAGGGGGCCTTTGAGGTGGACGGGCCCCATTACTACACCGTCCTGGCGCTCCACATCCTGCCCCCCGAGCGGTGGAAAGCGATGCACATCGACATCCTGAAGCGTTTGCTGGTCATCTCCCACGCCCGGACGGTGTCCCCGGCGGGAGCAAGCAAGTAAGCACAAGACGCGGCTGGGTGCTGCGCAGGTAGACCCTGTGATTTATGGCCGCCCAACTGAGCATGTGACTGTGTGAACGGTCACTGAACAAATTGGTGGTAAGTTGACTACCTGTGATCCTGGGAGCTGCCCTTCCCCTTCTGCCTGTCCTATAGAGCCAGATCTTCTGGGACTGGATTTTGAAGTTCACCTGGTGAAGGCCAGCTTTGGGATCACAGCCCCTTCTTTTCCAGCTGCTGCTAGCGCTGACTGTCCATCTTCCTTGTCTGCTGGGGTGGGGGCTCTTCTGAGGTCAGGGGGCAGCTGATTTGCTGCCGTCCCGGGGTCTCCTGACCTGAAACCCCACCCCCTGCCTTTGCTTAAGAGAGGGAAGAGAGCTCAGGCGCCAGGGACCCTTTGCAACACGCTCTCCTGAAGGCCTGGGAGTCTTGGGGGTTGATCCCCCTTTTGCCATCTGCTTTTCAGGGGGGAGGGAGGGAGAGAATACTCCCCCCCCCAGGGATGGCCGTGGAAGTGACCCTCAGCTCAGCATGCCGAGTGTCAAGGTTCCGACTGACGAACCCAACCAAGCAAATACCTTTGAGGCATTCCGATCTCTTAGTGTCAAACTTTATTGAGTACATCATTTCAGCACATGTGAAAGCGAAACCAGCTCTGACAAACCCCAGCCCAACACCTCCCCCCCCAGTAAAAGAATAGAATTTCCCCTCCCATTCATGAACGGGTCACATGGCCCAATTGGTGGCAATTATATGGTTATGAGAAAATGTCTCTGAGTTGAGCCAGGCATCTGGTGAATCGTCCTTGATTCTCACTGTCTGCTTTCTTTATCTTTGTAGCCTGCATTCCAATTCCCCATCCTCCCCCCAAGTTCTTTGGCAAGCTAAGAAGCAATAATTGTTGCACCAGCAAAGCGAGCTTCAAGCTTGACACCAAGAGGCTTCACTCACACACACACACACACACACACACACCATGAGAAAAATGACTTCCTGCTTCTGGCATCACAAAAAATGAGCTGGAGGTGCTCAAAACCCAGGCAGCATCTTTGGGGCTTGAGTTATAAATCAGTTTGTGCAGGAAACGGGGGAGCTACAGGCTGCCTATGTGTTCCCAGCCCCCTGCTGTGTAGATTTCTGTACGTGTGTGTGTGTGTGCGTTTGTGTGTGTGTCCCCTCGCCCGTACTGCTGGATGATTCACCGGCTGGAGTTATCTGCCTACCCACCCGTCCAAGGGACCTGACGGCCTCTCTCCCCTCCCAACAGGCTAACGGACAGAGCCGTGAAGGACTACGCTGCCTATCGCTCCAGCCTCCTGTTCTGGGCCCTCGTTGATCTCATTTACAACATGTTCAGAGTAAGTG